GGCACAGGGACTTGGAAGTATGGTTACTAGGGGTGCATGATATGATTAGTATTCTTTGTAGATTTTAGATAACTAAACCCAGATGCAAGGGAATTACTAATGTGTAGAAGCAATACTCATTTCTTTGTTGTTGTTTCATTTGTACAGGGGCTTATAACCTAATTGAAGTTCTCTATAGAGATGAGAACGTCCTACCCTTGCTCTGCCATGAACTATTTGGATGATCATGAATGTATGAAAAAACCATGTGTGTATGAAAAAAAGGCTAATGTGCAACTCAAAGATGCTTGGGCGAGGGGGGGGGTAAAGCTGGAAGGCAGCGGTCATTGCTGATATATGTGGCAGGAGTAGTATGAAGAATTATGAATTATGAGGTATGAAATGAAGATTTCATCTCATACTATCTCCCAGCTTTTGAGGATTGAAATGACAACAGAGAGAAATTTTAGTATGTACAATGTATGGACGTTATATATATTAACATGCATTTGATGTACAGATCTTGAACAGGCAGTTATTACGTTGCTTTATTCTCATCTTCCTTCCAGATTCAAAACAATCATCACTTGAATCATCACTCCAATGGCCACATCCCAAACGGCATGTTCAACGGTGCATTCAATGGATTTAACCTCGCAGACAACACTGTTCCAAATGGATCACTTCAGTTATCCATCCAGGGGAAGAGTGTCTTTGATACCGATGCCGATGATGACATTGTGCAGATGGCAGCTCAGAGGGACCAACTCCGAGGGGCAAGGAATATCAGAGGCATGATGGCGCCTGTCATGAGTAAAGAGGTAGATGACATGAATGGCTTCCACGTTCCCTTGTTCATTTGCTTCACAGATTTTTCGGTTTTGTTGTTTAGAAGTTTTTACTGAGATTAAGAGAGATTTTTTCTGCGACTGCATTCAGTTCATAGTTTGAGTATGGATGAATAGATATTATTTGTCTTTATATGAATGTATAAACAGTTTCCTGTATTATTTTGGAAACATAAAAGCCAAAGGTTAAAAGTGTTTATAAATTGTTTAAGATATATCTTTGATTTTCTTTGAATTCTTAAGAATTAGGTTTAATTGCAGCTCTCTGTACTGTATGTAAGAGTACCTGTCCTGAATGTATTTAAATATGATATTTTAAGCAGGTAAAAACCAACAATTTATTGCTATTTATACCGTATGTTTTTTTTTCCATTCATGTTGGAAGGCTTTTGTTGTGGAATATTACTAGTGTGTGATAATCAATCTTGTTTGATATTACAGGAGGATCCAAGAAACAGAAGTGCAAACCGCCGCTTTCTTCTGACAAAGCAGCGAAGTGAGTCCATGCTTGGAGACCATGAAGAGTCTCAAGAGGATGTGTTTCCGTCAATGGACAACAGAGAAGATGGTGATCAGGGAGATGTGGTTGGAACCATGAACAGAAGAAGAGGTATTAGGGAAATGGGTGGGTTGATCGGTGGATTGGGAGGGGTTGGGCTGCGTCCAAATGCAGACTATCTGTCAGACCTTAACAGGCGAGGAGACATTATGGCTCAGTCGATGAGGAGGCAGAGTCTGAAGGGCTCAAAGCAGAACCTGCTGGAGAGTGGATTTGCAAATTTTAGCTCAAATGACAGTTCAAGAATGAGCATAGGGACTGTCAGTCCTGAGGAGTTTTTGATATTCAAATCAGAAAATGATAAGTCTGCCATGATAGAGCAAGGTGCAGGAGCAGGCCTCAGAAAAGGACAACCTCGTTTCATTCCAAACTCTCATGAGGATATTCAGATACTAAACCTTCAAGGGTTTATGGATGCTTCTTCCTTTGCAAATGACCTTGGAAACTTGAGTAAGAGAAAACAAAGGAAAAAAAGGGGCAAAAGGGGTCTGGAAAATGGTCAGATTGAAAAAATACGAGATGGATATAAGCAGAGTTCCAGGCCGAGAAGAAAGCGAAGCCATAGACTACCCAAGACTCATATGAGTGATGATGATGATGGAGAGTTGACTCTTAAAGACATTGATGACCTTGATAACAAAGTGGCGGGGCTTGTCATTGGCCCAAAACTGTAAATACAGAGAGTTCAGGCACTCCCATTACTCTGGAAGAAGCAAGCCATCTCAGAAATCTTCTAACAGGAAGCCCAGCTAATACAATGCCAGCAGAATGGATGCAACAAAACTTCAAGCAAAATGCAAATCCAAATTTGTCATACGGCTTGGTTCAGAATAAGGTGAGTGTTGAAACCAATGCCACCAGGATAGTCTAATATTCTTTATAGTATAGTTTTTGCGAAATATTTACCTTGGGGGCTCCACAAGTGCTTAGCCACCAGAGAGTCATTTAGTATATACCTTATAAGCCCACCTTTTTGGGAATGTAAAAAATCTTACTAATACTGTCAATATCAATACTGGTCTTGTTATTGTAGCCAATATAGTTATTATGATAAAATTTATATTACTGATAGCAATATAATAGAGAAAGAAAATATTTTCAAAAATCAAGGAAAACAGGTGAGATAGGTGATACTAGTAATTGGTTCATTGGTACTTGTGAAGCCATCTATGTGTAAAGACATTTAATAAACTTACATGCCATCCCTAGTGGCATTGGGCCAAGACTGATTTTGCCACTGAAATTATAGAAAATCAATTGATTTTTACATTAATCATGCAACACCAGAAAAAAGATTGGAATCAATTTAGGTTTCCACTGAGTGCAGTAAGACAGTAATCTTCTTTTCATATTTCAGGGAGGTCCCTGTGGTGTGTTAGCATGTGTTCAGGCTTATATGATGAAGTGCCTCATCTTCGGTACTGCTGTGTCTCCCAGCACCAGCCCTGTGAGTCCCCTCCGGCCATCTCAACGAGAATGGTTATGGGCTCTAGCTTCTGCTATTACAGAAATATTGTGGAAGGCTGGACAGGAGAAAAAGGCAATACTTGCACTGTAAGCAGTCCAGAGATTTTTATTTCATCTTTTGGTCAGTGTTATGAGGAAATAGAATGGAGTGGCATCTAATGAGAGAGAAGAAGGGATTAATTGCTAGAATGGGCAGTTCAGATTTTATTTCTTGTAAATAATTTGCTGGCAGTAAAAGAAATTGGGAAACTGACTCATGCACTTCTTGATTGTTTATTCATCTACTTATTTATTACAGACCTGGTTCTTTCGCCCACTTTGCGGAACATGGTGTCGGCCGTTACAGTAACGATGGTGTGACAGAGAACCTCAACCTCTATGAATTTGTTGTACAGGATGATCTGTATGATGCAGTCAATCGCCACATGTCGGTCTTCACTGCTGAGACTGGCTCTGGTTGCGTTATCCTCCTGTACTCATTACTTCTGACGAGAGGCTTAGAAAAGTAAGTTCAGCTGTGGAAGCTTGTGTTGGTGTGTCTAGTTTTGTTTTGTAAATCTTATTTCCACATACTGTACTCTTTGCTTTAGGCTCTGGTTAGGTTGGGCATGAAGTTCAACTTTGAATATATGATGACTCAAGATAGATAGAAGTTTGAGTGTGGGTTTATTTAAGAAAGTATATTTGAGTCTTTTTTTTTTTGTATTGTATTATATTGTATTTATTTTGATTTATATGTTATTATTATTATTTTTTTTTACAAATATTATTTTGTGGATCTCCTACATCAAAAAAAATCTCAAGTGTTAACTGTAATAGAAATTATAATGTTTTGAATGAGAACTTTAATGAAGTCTTTTTGTTCCAGTGTCGAAACAGACAAGGATGCTGGTGGTGGTCAGCTCCTGAATGCACATGGATATTCCTCACAGGAAATTGTGAACCTCCTCCTGACAGGTATTGCATGTACTAACACCTTTAATGGTGATCAGACCCTTGGCGGCAATTCAGATGACAAAGTTGTTTTGAAAGGTGTCCATCATCGATCTGACATTGGTCTTCTGTCTCTGTTTGAACACTATGATTGCTATAAGGTGAGTTTTAAATACTTTGATTGGTTTTATTAGAATTACATGCATCATTTACATAAACCATTTGTTTGAGCAAAGGAAATACCTTGATTAGGTTGACATATTTAAGATGTATATATCTTCTACCTCAAATAGTGAATACTACTTTCAGTCAACTAATTCTTTTCCAATACCTTGATATCTTTTTATTATATTTTAAAGGTTGGATCACATCTCAAGACCCACAATACCCAATATGGGTCGTTTGCTGTGAAAGCCACTACAGTGTCCTCTTCAGCCGCGACACTGCCGTCAGCGCTGATGTACCTCCTAACACTAAGTTTGATATCTACTATTATGATGGCCTTGCCCTTCAGGAAGATGAGATAAGGCTTACTATTGGTAAGATAAGTTCTGATGTATTTCATTAATATTTAGTATTAGAAGAAGAAAGATTACTTCCTTTGATATTTACTTGATATTTTAAAGTATGCCATAGTGCAGGAGGGTTCCTAAAGCCTTACGTTGAAGGAATAGATTGGAAAGAAAGCTAGTTGGTATGGAAATGCACTTTCTGATTTGATAAGGTTTGGATGTGATGCTGAGATTATACTTTGAGATTCAGTTTCTCTTTTAGAGGAAAAGGTGCACTGTATTTTTGATTTTGGGTTTGTAAGCAGTTTAATTGTACCACTTTTTACTGTACTCTTAACTTTTTTTTTCAGATAACACACACATGTATATGTACAAGGACTCACACACACACACACACATCCACGCACACACACACATCCACGCACATCCACACACACACACATCCACACACATCCACACACACACACACACACACACACACACACACACACACACACACACACACACACACACACACACACACAACACACACACACACACACACACACACACACACACACACACACACACACACACACACTTGCACGCCACACACACACATATGTATATCCAAAGGATTGGAAACATTATGTTTAATTTTTTCAGATATGGAGGGAGCGAAACCTGACCTAGCCATTATACCTCCAATGAACACTGTATCAGAACGAAATGGAAGAATGCAGCTATTAACTGGAATGGAACCGAGCCAATTTTATAGTTTTAGGACATTTTTATTGCTTTATATATAATTGGTGAAAAATTGAAATGCATCAATGGATATATGAGTGTAATTATATGGGTTTATTCCTGTTCCTTGATGTTATAGTTTAGTGCTAATGTTTATGTTCAGAAATAATGGGTATTCCTTATTTAATTCTTATGTACAGACAGTATGTGTAAATGAAGTACCCGTGTACTGTATGTATATCATAGTGACAAAAAGAGCGAACAGGAAAGGTACTAAGAAATGTGAATATTTTTTATGTCATTAAAAAAGAAAAAAGAGAAAAAACAAGAAAAAATCAGTAATGATAGTGATTCTTATTTTAGGTTACTTATGGTGCATAAAGTAAAGGAATATCTGACCAACAAATATATGTTTATATGATACTCAGAGTGACAGTTGAGACAAAAGAATAATAACTATAACTATGATTTTGTTTTGCATCACAAAATCGGTTCAGTAGAAATTCATTGGTCTTTTTTGCATCTAAATGTGTGTATTTCAGAAATGTCTCTCAAAAACAAATCACTAATAAGTAAGGCTTTAAATATTTTTGGATTGTGTCTCTTTACTGTCAAGAATATTTCTGGAAAATATTCTTTAATTGCATACCCTTACATGACTTAAAGTTATGAATTACTAATATATAGTGTGATATAGTGATAATCACCAAGAATATCATTTGGCAAGGTCTCATTATAAGAATTGAAACTTCATTTTGATTCAAGTACATAAGACATAAGTTCTTTTTGTTCAATACAGTAATTTCAGAGCATTTACGACTAGCAGCCTTGAATCATATTAGAATTCCATGAAACAGACTTGACTAAGTTAAAGACATTTGACTTGTCTTGGAAAATACAAAATCTGAAACATATATCCAATTAGTCTATATTCATTTCAGCTTAAATGTATATGAAAGAGAAACTGGTTAACATGTTCTGCAACAGTGACTGTGTTGTATGTACTGTACAAATTATGTGGTAAGTATCAAGACATAATTGCATTTTATACATTGTAGTTTGTTCTAAAAATTGGGAAACCAGTAGATTAGACCTGAAATTCTCCTGTAATTGTCATGAATTCAGTAATGTTGCAAGTATTCATAGTGAAGTTTTACAATGAGAATTATATTTATATCTGTTCATAACAGTGCCGTCCAGTCAGTGTGATCTATAGTTGTACAGTGAATTTATATCTGAACAAATTCTAAATTCTTGCTTTGTAAGTATTGAAGGAGTAACTGTTTCTTATAAACACCTATTTTATTTATTTACCTCATTTTTAAGTATGAAAAAAAGTATGTGCCTTTTAAAAAGCTAAATAAAACATGTGAACCAATTATAAATGCAGTTTATAATTTTCATTAATTATTCCCTCTAAAGTACTTGTTTTCTTATCACCATCATTCCTTCAAGTAAATTTTAAAATCCATAAAAAGATAACAGATATATTCTAGAAAATTTGATGGACTTTCAAGTTTTATGTCCTTAAGCAGTTGCCTCAGGTGATGACACAATTTACTGTATCTTCTTCCCGGAAAATAATCAATAGATAGGTTAGCAGAAGTTCACCGAGAGGGAGACACTTAAATGGAAAAAAATGGAGAAGGCTATGTTAATCTTTAATTCTGCTTGCCAATTCAGGATGCTTATATGTCAGTTTTGCTAGCCTGGCATCTTTAAATTTATTTGAAAATGTTCTTGTATAGTACAGCCAAAAATTTGGCTTCAAGCTATTCTTTACTTTCAGCACAAAAGAAAACGATTTCTCACTGTCCAGATCCCAAATGCAGGGATTGGGATAGTCAATAAAATAAAGATAAAGATAAAAAATGTTGGTACCCTCATTTATCTCTTAGAAAAGATTACAAATAAGCATTGTTTAGGTCCCATTATAAATACCAAGACTATACAGAATTGGGAATACATATGTTGGTTGGCTGGTTCATTCTGGAATTACTGGCTGCAGATATAGTACGTCAGAAGAGGGCATTTCATTCATCCTTTAGCATCTCTTCATTATACTGATAATTAATAATTAAAGAGGTTATTAGCAGTTAAACTTAGAAGTGATTAAAATGATTTTTCTTTTTTTTCTGCATGCATTGAATTCATTTGGCATTCTTTGTATTTGCTTGTTCCATAATTAAGAATTTTCTTTAAACTGAAAAATTAAGTTAATACCTGATATTGGAAAGCAATTATAACCTAAAAAGCTGATAATTATCATTACTTCAGACATATCCTTGCAGGTATTTATTAGATATTTGCAGTGTCAAATAATGCAGAATATATACATTTTTATGTACTTTCGTACTCAAATACCTAAATGCATCTGATTAATCTATATCCCATTCAATTGGACAAATATGAATTTCAATAATATTCAGTTGCAGTTTATTCTACCCAATATCATTAACTACATTTAAAATACTTTGATGTATACCCTATCTTCACTCTTTTGTCGATAAGTACAAGGAAAAGATAAGAGAAAATCATTAGAACAAAATGAAATAAAATACCAAACCACCATAATAGGTCTTATCCAGTTGATGGTGCGGCGCAGCTATACTCTGCACGGCACACTGTAGATTTGTTTTACTAATTTCAGTTTACATATAGAAATGTCTTGTCACAAAGGAGTCAATTACTAGGTGTCGTACCTTGCTTAAATGTTTTTGTTTTGATTGCTATATTACTGTTATTTAAGTTGTAATAATAACAGATACACTACTAGTAGTACTACCAAGATAATAATGTTAAATAATTAGTAACAGAAACAAACCTTTTTTTTTTAATTCAAGGAATAGGATAAACTGATGAGATCAGGCAGGCCTAATGCTTGACTATGCACATGTGAAGCCCTTTGTGAGTAAAACAAAACTGATAAAGCAAAACTGCAGTGGATAGTGTATGAAGCTGATGAGAATGGGTTAACATCTAAAAATCTGTATTTGGAGAGAAAATCATGAAAGATACCAGTACATTTAATAATTACACCTACAGATTTACATTACCATAAACTAATTAAAGTAGGCATATTATCTAGAATACAGATAAAAGTTACTTTTATTCTCTTCTGCATCTGATGTCTCAGAAACACAGTAGCTGAGTGATTAGTGTAAGCAGCCAACAGTCATGGGTATTGTTTTCCCCAAGTTGCAGGAGTAAGCTAAGTACAGAGTTAAACTGGCAAGCAAAACAGGATGTCTACTAGATTCTTTAGAAAAAAGATTCTTATAATATTTTTCTATTCTGCAGAGCATTCTTCCTTATTGATGGCAAAATGTTGCTGCTTTAGATATTAATGGGGATTTTCTGCTTTATTAAGAAATCAAGAAGAAAATTACAATTATTTATTATAGTGTTACAAAAGCATCATACTTACATGGTCAAATAGTAGTAGGCTAAAACATAAGCTACTTCCAAGTAGTACTCTTCTCTAAATGACATATAAACATTAATTAGACTCTACTCTCCCTATTTAAAAAACCTAATCATCTGAATTCCACATCAGGAGAAATGACAAAAGCCTTTTCTGTTAAAAATTATGATATGAAAGACCTTGATATCCTGCATCCTTACAAAGAAAGAAGTAGTAGGAAAGAAATAGTGGAGATGACAATGTGAAAAACATCATTATATGCAGGTGATATGATAGGGTAAATAAAAGCCAGCTCATGGTGCATAAAAGATGTACAATTAATGCTTATACTCCAGCTATATTTTTAAAATCAATTAATGGTCCTGGTATTTCAGGGATACTGTAATTAATTCATGTGGTGGATGCATATGAAGATGAAAAGTGATACTGATGACTGTAGATTAAGTTAGTAATATTAATGACCATAAATGCTTTGACATCGGTTAGTAGGATTGACATTTAAAAAAAACTGCATACCTTTCTAAACAATGTCATATCATTTCTGATATAAGTGTAAACAATCTTATTTCTCAACTTAATAATGAATATAACATTAATGCTCTAAAGAGAGTCCGTTTTGTGCATTTTTTTCCCATCTCTACCAGAATTACAAATCAAGTTTTGTGACACTGAACCTGTGGGTGTGGGTGCGTATGTGTGTGTGATTGTGTTTGAATTTTTTTTTTTTTATTGATTATAATTATATATAAAAAGTTCTATCATGTACCAGCACCATTACTGAATGATAGACAAAAAAGTGAACTAATGTTTTGTCTTTTCTTTTATACAAACCAGATATCATATATCACAATTGGAATAAAGTCAAGATGGCAACAGTTATGAAATATTCCTTTATTGAAAAAGGAGACCTTCTGAAGTCATTAAAGTGATGTTTTGCTGATAGTTCAACTTTTGTAGACAAGAACTGTGAACTATATACAGTACAGTCAGTGATTAACTTATACCTAATGACAGTAACAATTGAAAAAATCAGAACTTATTCAATAAATCTCACAAACTGGGACATGTCTATGACAACATTTGCACTTGAGTGAGGATATGGCAGTGAAGCTTTGGAAGCTGGAAAATCGTGAATCACATAAAATACTTGGGTAAGTTATAACCATTCTTGAAGCTTTATTTGCTGCTTAGAATGAAGTGCAGAATGTCAAAAAGTGCTTACTCTGAAAATAAGAACAACTGATCTCTAAGAGCTATGCCACAGTGTGAGACAAGTTATAAACACATATTTTCTGTGAATAGTACAGTGCAAGCACATTTTTATATGTAACTATTATTCATAATGTACATTTTTCATTGAAAAATTGTAAAACTAAAGTAAAAACTAGAGTAACAACTTATTTTCCATGGCACTTTGTGGTCTTTGCTGGGAATAATTACTTTCTGCTCAACAGTTAACAATGATGAAGTTAAAACTGACATATTAATGATATTGATTCTGACAATGCTTATGGTATAGCCAGCAAAATAAAAAAAAACTCAATTGGAAATATATAAATCTTTGCACCTCATTCCACTCATTATAAATCATTTTTGAAGCATGGTCTTGGAGGAGAGACAAAAAAAAAAAAAGAATACCAGGAAACTTCATCAAAGAACTACTGTACTATCTTTAAACACTTTCAAGTAGTAAAAATGTAATCCAATTAACTCTCCTTTACTTTTAAAGAACTACAGTAACATGGCAGTCTACATAGTCTATATCCAAGTTACCTCTTCTGAAAGCTTGTTAAATGGGAAAGCTAAATCTCTCTTTGTCCTCTGAGTGATTTCAGAGAATCTTCGCAGCGGATGGATGTCCTTTTTTCCATCTGAATTTTTTAGCTGTCGTGCGCGTAACTGCTGAGCTCTTCAATTTCAGTGCTCTTACTCTTGCTGCTCTGTCCTCAAGGATTTGCCTGGAAGACAGAGTAGTTGTTGATGGTGTTGTTGTTTGGGTACTTTCTAATGGATTTACAACTGGTGATGTATCTGGTCTCTCAATGGTGTGATAATTCTGATTATTTTTTCTGTTTCCTGACTTGTGCTTTCTCTTCTTATCGGTGGTGCTCTTCTTCTTGCCTTTCATTGTGTGGATATGCTTTTGGTTTTTGTTTCTCTTGTTATGTTCCTCCTGTTGTGGTAAAGACTCAGATCTTCCTTCTTCATGGTGACTAGGGTCTGAGTCACTCTGGACATTATTTTTCTTAGATCGCCGCTTGTGCCGGGCTCCTTCCGGGTAATAGTCATAATACTCAAACTCTGTATCTTCATCTTCATCTCCATACTCATATTCATCATATTCATAGGCATAATCATCATAAACTTCATATTCATAGTCATATGGCACATCCTCATCAGTGGAAGCACTAGATTCTGTTGTAGTTTCACCAGCTATACTTGAATCCCCTGCACCAGGAAGGAATGGTGCTTCTGTTCTTGAGGCCGTGTCTTCTGGAACTTGTGTGCCGGTAGTGTCTACTTCCACTGGGAATGTAATGCTTGAGTCAGGAATGGGAGGAACTTGATTGGAAGAGGAAGTGGTGCCATCAAGTGTTGGAAATACTGAAGAAACCAAGCCATTAAGATGATCAACCTGTGGAAGAAACAGTGATTAAGACATGTTTTTTCCCATATTTTTTTAGGATAAAGAGTGTATATATATATATATATAAGCTTCATACCTGTTTGTACAACTCATCGGCTGTTGTTCCTGCATATGGAGCTGATCCAGAACTTGGATTGTAAGGTGAATCTGGATGTCCCGGTAAAAGATGATCTTCACCAGCTAAGCCTGAAAATAGAATTAAATGTAGTACATTCCTGACACATATGAAGGAGGAAAATATCAGACAGAAAGGTCATGCATGACAGTTAATACTACAAGAAGACATTAATTTTGTCATGCAATACATCTCAGAAATATATCTTCTACAGTTTGTGCTGAGGGTAACTAATACTTTGACAAAAATAAAAACACTATAATCCTATAAGAGTGCCATAAAGTTTCCAAACACAACAACTGGACCATTCACATCACATGCCTTGATACACCAACTCTAGTTCAGAGAAAAACACAGCTGCAATTGGACAGACAAAGTCACAAAATGTCAAGAAGATAACAGTAACACTTTATGTTAACCATACAAATTGACGCAACACTTTGCTGCCTCTTGTGTTGCAGTAAGTGCTGCCAGAAAGTAAATTTGACATTCATGGTTCTGTCTTTCAAAATAAAAAATGTACAATGAGTGCACTGAATTTGAGATTGCAAGTTTTGTTTATTAAAATTTGTAGTAGAGTGATAGGTAATGGCTGTACTGTGATGCACTAAAACAATTATTAACTGTTAATACACACAATAAGGTTTTGTGAACATTATTCACTCTTTGTTTCTGAATGTAATGTATTCTTCACAAAATGAAGAAGAATATAGTTTTTGGTTAAGACATATAAACAAAATCTGACATTAATACATGTACTATACATTTGAAGCAGAATATCTTAAACTTTGTTAGATTGCCCAGTTCTCTAGATCTATTTTTGAAGAAAGCTATCCACATATGTTTTATCTGCAACTGGATGTTTTCAGTTAATTTTAGACTGTAATTTATTTCTTATGAAGAACTACTGCTTTGTATTCTATTTTGTTGAGAATTGAGAAAGACCCGAACACTGAACCATCAGAAAATAAATACAGCATAAATATTCTACCTATGATGACAGCATGATTGAAGATGCAAAGTACAAAATTGCAAATCATACTCAACACCTGACTACACAGCAGATATAATTAACTGTTACTGACTGAAAATGCAGCGAACATTTATACCATCACTATCAATAACAAATTTTTCTATTCAATTTGTTCTTACCTTGGAAATTGTGACTGCATGAAATAAGCCCTCATGCATCTTCATATGGTTACATTACATAGTTTTGCTTTTACATGCAACAAATTAGGTTCCGTTGGAATAGTGAATATGAAAATTTAACTCCATCTAGCATCTCCA